TTTTGTAGATCATTTGGCCTTTGGAAAACTCATCTCCAAAGGCCAAATGATCTACAAAATTGACCAGAATTAACCTAATTTTTGGGGTACGATATCTGTTAATTAGCCAAAATGTACGAATTTTGGCCAGAATTAAATCAGTTATCAGCAGTATCAGCCTGTATCGAAATCATCATCCCTATTGGATAATTTTTGTTGTTGCACAGGAAATTTTGGTTTAAATACACGAGTTTTTACCCAAACATGTAAACAACAGTCTTTGTACTGTTTCACTCCGTTGAGTTCGCTCCGAAGATTACTGGCCTCGTTAGTCGCTCCGAAGGTATGCTGTCTTCGTTGAGTTCGCTCCAACCTCGTTAGGTCGATCCGAAGTTATACTGTCTTCGTTGATTTCGCTACGTCTTCGTTGAGATTTATGTGTTCGTTTGGACAGCGTTATCCAAATAGCCCGTCTTTTCTTTTATCTTTCTTTTGACGTACTAATAAGAGGGATAAGGGAGGTGTTTTGTCTTCTTTAAAATTTCTTCTCTTTTTCACCTTCCAAATTGAGTTCGCTCTAATAACAAAAAAAATTAATAATTAGAGAAGATAATAAAAACTTTATGTCTATGATGATAATTTTAATAATGCCTTGGTACTGTATACATATATGAGTGTCGCCAAAAGAAAACCCGACAATTTAAATATAGCCTATATTTAAATTGTTGGGTTTTCTTTTGGCGACGCTCTGAGACATGAAATTCATAGCTTAATGTGATCGAAATTAATTTTATAAAATTTTATATATAAATTTTTAAAAATAAAAGCTTTAGCCTAGTCTATTTAAAAATTTCATGTTATAAAAACCAAGAAATTAAATTTGTGTAGTCTAATTTAATTATTTAAATAACTATTTAAATTATTAACTTAGAATTTTAGCCAAATTAATAAAATGAAAGATGGTTTAATATTGTTATAAAATCATTCTGTTTTATATTTGCAAGTTACTAAAGAGATTAAACCATTTTAAAAATACATCTAAAACTATTAAAACTATCATTTAATTTAGTTTATTCAGATTTAAATTATATCCAAATTAGTTTAAACAAATTTATATTCAAATTTAATTTAATCAAATTTAATTTAGTCAAATTTACATGTACAGTTTTTTTAAGTTACAGTCGATACTGTCTAAATGCATACTGCATACTGTCTAAATGCATAATTTTTTAAAGAAATTTATTAGTAATATGCATTTAGACAGTTGATTTTCTGGTATTTGATTGGTTGATACTGTATAAATGCATAAAATTGATTTTCCCGACGGTATGCATTTAGACAGTATCGACTGTAATTACATATTGAACACTATGATTTCATTATTTAAATGGCTTGTTAATAAGTGAATGAACAGGATAAACTTTATAAAATTCAGAAATTCTATAATTTGTTTGACTTTATCTACAGCATTCTCAGGAGTTAAACTATATTTTTATACAATTCCTTGTGAGGATTGGAAGAGCCAAAGGATTCCATACCTAAATTTGCGTGTACCAACCAAAAGTAGATACTTAAAACGGGGGATGCCGTCAAGAAAGACAGACAAACGGTATTCCAAACTTTATTCTTCGAAAAGTTCAAAGCATGGTAGGGACAACACGAGCCTTAATGCCTTCTTTTTCTAATAAATTTGCAGCATCAACAGCGTTCCTGTTAAGATAATTTGTGCATCATGACAATCTTTTAATATATATCCTCCTCTAACTGTGCCTTCAATTGAGGATCTTTCTAAATTAGGAACATTTGGACGCGAAAGAGCAAGCGCTGAAGGGCGTTCAATGTTTTTGATCGCGATAAGATATACACCGGAAACTTCGTTTCCATCAGCAGGTATTAAAAATAGAAGATTCGGCAATGCACGGAGATCAGCAGCAGTTTCAATGGGTTGATGAGTTGGCCCATCTTCACCTATAAAATTGATACATAAAAAATTGTAAATAACCATCCAGACTTTTTTTTTTAAAAAAAAAAAACCCCCCAAAAACGTACCCAAACCGATGTCATTATATAAATTACACGAAATGACGAAAGCGCTGATAAACGAACAGCTTCCGAACCATAGCTAATAAAGTTCAAGAATGATCCTCCGAATGGAATTATACCACCGTAAGCAGCAAGACCATTCATAGCAGCAGTCATAGCATGTTCACAAACCCTATATCTGACATATCGTCCATTATATGTACTCAATCCCGTAGAATTAGCTTGAAATTCGGTAGCAGTCTTCCACCTTGTTCCTTATCATCAAATAAACGGAGTTAAAAGTTCCACTTGATATTTTTTCCGTACTCTATGTCAAATTCGTTGTTTCTGATTCAAGACTTTCAAAAGACCGCTTACTTGGTAGCGTGGGTTGTATAATATTGCTGAAGTTTATTGCTGCAGCATTAGTCAAAGCGTATGAGTATTTTGAAACATTATCTAACTTGGTGAAAAAGTAATTTAAAATTATAATTAGCGATACTTATTTTTGAGATATATAGTAATCAAATTCATGATAATTTAATTTCTCTTGTGCCGATCTCTGATATTCTACGGAAGCCCATAATTCGTCAAGCTCGCTTCCATGGGTACGTTTGCTCTTTGTGAAAAAGATGGAGTGAGAGATGATATAATACATAATGTATAATAATTTTAACACTAATCCTGAGCAGACGTAGGCATTGTCATGCATCCAAACAGGCATTTGGAGGACCAGCAAACAGTTGATTCCTCCTATCATGGACAACTGAATCCCACACACGTGTAGACATTGTGGTAAGTCATGCATCAAACGGTTGGATTCCTGGGTCTATGTCAAAATCCCGAAAGTCAAAATCCTGATATTTAATTGTCGCGTCGTGTGATGTCAGGTTCCAGTATTCAAACCCCACCTGCAATCATTATTACTAATTATAAGTGGGTTTGAATACTGGAACCCGACATCACACGGCGCGACAATTGATTTGGGGATTTGGGGATTTTGGATCCTCCTAGCATGAACATCGGAAAACCAGCAAGCAGTTGATTATCTTATTATGGCATCAGTCCACATCATTGACTCTACCATATGATGTGCTTGCCTTATTTGCTAAAAGTCTCTCGGCTTCCTGTATCTTCATTTCGTCTTTACAACTTTTTGTAAGAACATCGTTTGCTTTTTGATAGCTTAACTTTTTTATATCATCTTTATTTTCATGTATCCATGCTTCATGAAATCCAAGGATACTCCGATCATTAACGTGAAGTACCTATGCCATTTGGGACTTGTCATTTTGCGGAAAGTTAAAACGCGTGACATAATCTATTGCCGATCACCGTCTTAGCAGTTTACACAAAAATTACCACATAAGGGAGAGTCGGGTATTACGACGCAGGTGGGTATTGTGATGCACTCATGTTTTTTGACGATATCTCGATCAGAATCGAGTAATTTTGGTATCGTTCGATTCGTCTTACTGAGACGACTAATTGCTAAATCACAAGCTATAAGTAAAAGTCGACATTACTTATGATAGTATTAAGCATCTTTTAATTTTTATAATATATTTCCTCATTTGGGTAATGTCCGGAGGAAGGATGCAATAAGAAACACATAGTGAACATAGTGCGTCATAATGTAAAAAACATAGCATTTTTTTGAGTAAATTTTGAAAGCTCATATTACAATATTTTCTTTTTAAAATTGATATTTTTTTTTATTGGCAGATAGTTAATTCGCTGAGTAATCTATTTCAATAAATTTTGTAAATAAATACGTTATTCCTAAAAATTTTTATATAAGCAACTCTCAAGTGCGTCATAATACCCGACCCTCCCTTGGTTTACTCTATATTAGGGATGTTAATGGAGTGCTCCAGGGTGGTGCGGTGCATACTCTGGCAGAGTATTCCTTAACTATTTTAGTATATTTCGGAGTATAACCCAGAGTGTAATCCGGAGTATAACCTGGAGTACTATTATTTACTGTAAATGATAAGAGGAAAAATATATTATACTAGGAAATGCATAGCATTGTGTGTCCGGACAACTAGCATTCTTGCACATCCTTACGGACGTGCAGTAGTCTACAAATCAATGAACAAAAAGAAATTAAATGAGAAGAAATATTTTATTTCAATTATCTTAATCAATAAATAATCATTGGGTGATATATAGAATTAACTTATTTTGAAAATAAGTGGGAGTTTATTTCTGTTTTGAAATAGGAGTATTTTTTTGACAATATATTATAAACATATAAAAATATATATAATTTATAGATTACTTATTTCAGTATTTCAAAACAAATAAACAAATGTGCTATTAATTTTATTTGAAATCAGAAATCTGTTATTGGTTGATCTATAGTATAGGTTGGCAGAATAGAATATTATAAAATTATAATATATAAAATTAACTATTTGAACTAATTTAAGCAAATTTGGGACTAGTTAGAGTTAGGATAAGGGTTATAGTTTAAATTAAAGTTAGGTTAAAGTTAAAGTTAGAGTTTTTTTATATTATAATATTATAATATTTATATATTGCCCATCTATACTATAGAAAATTCATGCTTCATAATTCCACTAATTTGTTATAAAATTTTTTTTTTATTTATAATTCGGCAGTCATGCCTTAGCTTTATTAGGCTTTGTACAATTTCTCTAGAATATGTAAAATTTTACAACTA